AAAAGTTGGTCTTGTTTCGTAGACTAATCCTTTTACCAATGTAGAGTTTATAAGTACCTACAACATAAAATATAGTCTAACACATTTTTATCCAGGAAGTTATAAGTAAGTAAACCAGGAAGACCTACAGTTGTGAGTCTGGGTAAACCCCGCAGGCCTCCAGTGTTAAACAAAATGCACCCTATCAGTTGGGAGATATACTGAGTCCAAACACAGTGACTTTACTTGGCCCTTGAAGTAGGTAGTAGAATACTATACGTATTGTTATGCACTTATTCAATTGACTTCTTTTATTTATTTGAAGCTGTTTTGCACCAGTTGTTATAATTAACTGGTTGACGGGTCAAGTAAAATCGCACTAAAGCAGCCATTATAAAATTAACATTTCAAATAACAATAATAATACTTCTGTTTCGTAAAACCCTGGGTATCTACCTTGCGAGCAGAGGCTCTTAGATCTTCCTCACTTGTCTAGGAATTGATCGAAAGGCCTCTGCTCGCAGGGTACTGGGTATGAGAGGACACCAAGATTCCCTGACCTGTTTAATACCTTAAGGTCATATGGACTCTGAAAACCTACAATGGTTTTGCTATGCTGTCTTAACCTTCATAGCAAAACCAGCCCAAAACGCTTCAAAACGACACAGGAACTCAAAGTACAGCAAAAAAGGGGCTTTGTGTTATTTCTTTGCTGCAGGATAAGCTAAGATAATGCGATATTTTTTCTACTTTTTATTTTTCTCATGTCTGAACCTTATAAAACGCTACGTTATGCAATATTAGCAAATGTGAAAATTATTAACATGCGCTCACATAGTAAGTTTGGGACACCTGTGGTCCATTTCACTGTCGGGCAGAGGTGGGCATTGTTGGTATCGTCTCTAAGTGTCCGTCATAGACTGAAAGTTGCCTACCTTATAGAATTTTTTTTTATTAGGGAACTGTCTATCCCATTAAGGTGTTGTTTAAGGGAGATTTGACTTGATATCAACATTTTAAAAGAAGTGAAAGACGATCGTCAGTTTGAATGCGATCTTGAAAAGGACTGTAGTTATAGTGACTGACGTATTTCGACAACCAATTAAGAACTGCATCATCTCAAGATACACACGGCTTATGGAAAAATCCATTGTGTGTACATGGTATAACTTCAGCACAGTTCAATCCTAGCTGATCAAAAGTAAATCTAAAAAACTCTTATTAACATTAATTAGTTGCAAACATACCGACTCATCTTTGAATTTTCTGCCAACTATTCTGTATGTGTTGTTTACAAGATGATGATAAACTTGGACCCAGGCGTCACCGGAGTCTTCCCACTCATCTCTTTCATAGCTGTAGAGCATTACAGATGCTCTTGCCTCAGAGATTGGTTTCTCACTACAGACAGGAAATATATTTGCCAGTCAGATTAAAACAAAGTCATATTATGAACAACTGACCACTGGCAATTTTCCATAACCTACCCGTTGTACATGTCACCTGAAAAGCTAAAACCACAAAGGCAGTGATGAGACCAAAGGCTGGGTTTTAAGGATACTTTTAGTTATCAAAAGTGTTGTTGAAGTGATCTATTGTTTATATCATATTTTGAAGGCTCATTAGGCCGTAAATATGTTAAAATCACATCGGTTACTAATTTTGGAGAGGACGCGCCAGGAGTCTCTACCGTATGGTTTTTCTCCCGAACAAATGCACTTGTCGGGTTGCCAGAACCAATGAATTTTCGCCTTTAAAATTTTCAAGCAAACGTCAAATGTATGCCGCAATGTTCCCCCGGCTTTGTAACTGAAAAGTCACGAAAATCAGCAAAAAGAAGGTATATTCTAAGTGCTGTACGTTTTAAATGCAATCCATGGTCTTTTAGCTCAAACAGAATATTTTTTGGGCATTCTTGGCAGAGGCCCCGGTTGTTCAAACGTTGGATGGCGCTATCCACAGGATAAATACCTAGCGGATAGGTTTTAGGGAAACCAATTGCATTATCCACTGGATAGAGATACCGTAAAACTCCAACAATAATCCGTGGGGCTTATATTTTTCAAAGGCCCTTTTTGAGGGGCTTATTTTTGAAAGGGCTTATATTCGGAAGGGCTTATATTTGGAGGGAAATTTGCGTTTCAAAATCGGCTAGGCTTATACTTGAAGGAACATTTGCGTCACAAATTAGATTGGGCTAGCCTATAGTTGGAGGGAAATTTGTGTCAGTAATTTGTAGAAAAGGTTTTACTGAAACTCGCCTTGAGGACGTAGACCTTTCTAAAACGCAGCCATGCAAGTAGTTTGTTTATAATTATGGACCAAGGAAATCTAAGGCAAGAGTGAAGAGTGAACTACGCAAACAGCAATATACTGTGACACTTTTTGACTGCAATCATTTGGCACACGTAATAGTTAGTTGGCAAATACAAAAATATATTTGTTACTGTAGCGCGATTGTTTCGCAGTACTTTGCATTTGAGGGCAATTTCCAAGTAAAAGCCCCAGGGGGCTTATATTCGGATGGACGATTTAACGGAGGGTTTTTTTGCGCTCCGAGTTTGGGGTCTTATATTTGGAGGGACTTATTTTCGGAATTTTACAGTATATGCAGTGGATATTGTTATCCAACGTTTTAACAACTGGGGCGAGGTGGCTACCATTTGTTTTGGAACACTGAGTGAAGCTGTGAGTGCAACCAGTATCACCGCTGTATATTCTGACGGAAACTGCTCATGCGTACACAAGCTGGTCTTGCACCTCTAATTAGCATTTAAGAAATAGGTTATAAGTATCTACTCTATTGATTGTGGCTTATGAGTTGCGAACATGTTAAAACATGCATCACCACCCGAGGGTTACTCTTTGCAGATGAAATTCATCACGTTAAGCATTTGCAACTTTCTCTCTACTTCTGGGGTCCTCATCGATTCTCAGTTGAAGATGTTATAGTTTAATGGTGTTAAGCCATAAATCAGTGCCTTAGAGAGGTTTTTTGGCGATCATAATTAACTTTCTGTTTTGTCTATTGATCTCGTGATTTGTGACTTGGTTCAATGCAGATGCCACACATTGATATTTCTTATTTTTAAATCGCAGCTGAATTATCTTGGAACAGCACAAAACTTAACTCGGAGATTGTTATTGAAGAAAGCAAAAACTTCCCCAATTCTACATCCTTCTTCTGTAATTCTGATGCACTCAAACCGTTTGCCTCATTTACCCTAGCAATAGGTATAGCGTGCCTTACGAACCGAAGCCATAATAAATTACTACTGAATTCCTTCTGCCTCCGATATCTTGATTCAGTTTTGTGAATTGCATTGTGTCTTCTACCGACTTGGTCATCGCCGACGGTGTGTCAGCAATGCCCGAAAATAATTGTTTTATTATAACACATACTCAGACTGAACCGTTAGTTACTCCTTACTGACGACCCTTCGCAGACTCTTGTTGCTAGAAAATTGGAACCTTCGCATTCATGCACTCTCATAGATCATGAGTGTGTGGGCGCGCATGATGCCACAAAGGCCTTCCAAGAGATCTCAAAGGCACTAGGAAGCAAATTGAAATCGATCTGTTACAATAATGTGATGATAAAAGCGTTATAAAAGCTCAGCTGAGTGCCTTTGTCAACTGATATTTTCATCCTTATTGAAGCGGGCCTTGAAAGCACTTGCGTACAAGGATGATATCGGCCTATTCTCACTCAATTCTGACACTAAAACAACTACACATACAATGCATGTGTTTCCACGTAAGTTAAGAAAAAAATAGCCGCAAACCGCCTTGACTGCTCCACTTCACCGAGATCTCACTAAATAGCAGGGTGCAACCACCAGAGTACCCGTTTATGCTTTCCCGGAAACGATCATTCAACTAAGTGGTTTTCATGATCATACTGAAGCTGAATTAGTAAATACCCCTACGTTTCCAAAAAATTGAGCAAGCGAAATTCCTTCTTTGTTCGGGACTCGGTACCTACGATTAGTTGAATGACAAAACAGAGAGGGAATCACAATGAACTGAGCAAACACAACTTGAAGCGAAGATCGAAAATGAAGTCCATAATAATTATTTTAAATTATTGCGCGCAATGCTTGGGTCAAACAACAATCTGATCTGATCTTAATGATAAGCAGTGGAACACGGCAATCTTACCTCATATCGACGTTTAACAATTAGAATACAACAATCTTTCCTAGACCCAAGACTCTAATCTTCGACTGATCGTTATACGACCACTGGATCGTGAAGTTGGAAAATCCATAGCGAGGCTCAGAATTCACAACTCGCCGCACCCTTCAGGGTTATAATCGATGTCACATAGCGACTATAAAGTGACCATGGGGGTGAGGGCAAAAACAGTTGTAGGGGAGGGGGTATTTTCTTCCCCCTCCACCACACTCCACTTCTTCCTTCGGCTTTACACCCACCCAGTTGATTACAACCGGATCCCGAATTCACTCAAGCATGATTGAGACGATTTTCGATCTTATAGCAATGGAGAAGCAAAAACTGCGACTGAAAGAAGCAAACACTGGCAATCCAATCTGCCATCGGCAGTAATTACGACACCCCCGCCGACGTTACACTCAGTCGGCGTCTGCCAACAGTATTAACGTGACCGTTAAAAAGGCTAACAAATTATTGGGTTTGGTTCATCAAACAGTGGGCTCGTCGAATCCCGGTGCGTTCTCTACGTTATACAAATCTCTCGTGCGCCCGGTTCTTGAATATGCTGCTCCAGCCTGGAACCCATATTTGGCTAAAGATGTGCTAGTGTTAGAAAGAGTTCAGCGAAGAGCCTCTCGGCTTGCTCTCGGGCAAAAACGTAGTGAGATGGAATACGAAGATCGTTTAAGGAAGCTGAAGTGGCCTAGACTTGAAACACGTAGATTGTTTCTTTCTTTAGTTGAATGCTATAAGATCGTTTTTGGCATGAACAAACTTAACTTTGACGACCTCTTCGAATTTACCAAGTGCAATTCAACCCGCGCTAACCATCCGTATAAACTATATGTTAAGCCAGCAAAGTGTTGATCCTTAGAAATATTCTTTTCCTATCCGAATCGTACGGGACCAGAATAGTCTACCAGGATATATTGTTGAGGCTGGAAGCCTGAGCCGTTTTAAGAGTGCTTTGAAGCGGTTCCTAAATATCCAGCCATATTAAACGTGTTTACATTTTTAAATCATTAACAACGCACAATAAATAAAGCAACCTTTAGGGGACTCACGCTAAAATAGATTTTGTGATAATTTCGATTCCTTTCAGCACTACCATAAAAGAGCTTAAAAAGAATAGAAACAGTTACTATACCTAACTTTAAGGAAGTAAATATGTTCAGTTTTCTTTACATATATAATCGAACGTGTAAAGTTTGCATTGCAATCACACTCACTAATAGACGTTTTTGGAAAATATAATTCCTTCATTGAACGATTTCCTACAATACTGAGAATTTCTTCCATACGAGTACAAGTTAAGGCAATACTGCGCAGCAAAAGTTATAAATATATATGTTTCAGTCGAATGTTAGCATAGAGCCATGCCTGTTACTTCCGGGTTTGCGTAAAAGACGGTCATTTTTATTATTATCATTATTACTATTATTATTAACAATTTGAATTGTTAATAATAATAATTGTTATAATGGTCTTTATGTAAATGTTTTCCGCCCTCAATTAGCAGGTGCAGTTGCTGAAGAATGAAGGTTGAATAAAGAGGGTCGTACAGGGGTATTCCCGTGATGCGTGATTGGCTGGTTTTATTTTCCGTGAAACGTGAATTTAATAAATTATTCTTCGTGATCCGTGATCTGAAGGTTTTGCGTGACCCGTGAAGAACTTGAATTATTAACCGATGTTCGTGATTTCACCACTCTATTTGGCGTGATTTTGAGATGCGAGTGTTCCGGAAGAATTATTTTAAGACTGAAAATATCAAATGTGACAAGTAACAGATGTAATCCATTGTGCAAATTCACGTGCTTTACATGCCTATCATGGATCAGATGTCTATTCCTATGCCTATGGTCTCCTATGTCACTGGAGGTCAAAGGACAGTGATCCAAAACATCGAAACATCCGAGATATGGAGGGTACGAGTACGTATAGTACGATGAGGGTCGAATGTATTGTATTTTACGTTGACCCAAAGTCTGTCGGCTCGCTTAATTTTCTTGGAAAGGAACGAGTTCGCTTTCCAATTACAGATGAACATTCATCTTTGGCAGCGTTTACTAAAAAGTTCGCGGAATTTGCCGTATTAAAGGCAGAGGCTGAGAAACGTGGCCTCGGCTCCTGTGTTGAACTTAAATTTTGTCGTCTCGAAAAGGGAAAAGATGGCAGCAAGGCCTTTGCG